CCAGGCCCGACTTTATATGGAAGCCCGGGCGGGGGGGGGCTGGGGGGCTCTTGCACCGGAGACCAGAGCGCTCTGACGTCTCCCTATAGCGAGCCGGAGTTCTGGGAGAACTGTCCGGGAAAATCATCCATCTTCCCGCCGAGTGATGCAAAGGCGCTGTTCATTGCCCCCTCTCTCCCTCCCTCCTAGTCCTATTCGCCCTCCCCACACTGAATTAAGTCCCATCCTCTGTCCTCGAACTTCTTGCCCCAGCCTCGCCGGGTGCCTCCCCTGTTTGCTGCTTTCCAGTCCTGCAAAGGGGACACGGGTGGACAGATGCTTTAGGTTGGCCTTTGCTGGAGGGATCTGGCATGGCAGGACTAGGGGCTTCTGATCCTGTGAACCCCACCCCCACACACATTCCAAACCCCACTCCTCTGGGTCCCAGCCCACACCCCCTTCCTTTCCCTCCGGCAGAGCAGACCCTTGTCACTACCCTGCCAGGGATAGCTTCACCCACCTGTTGTCAGAGGTCCCGTGCCCATCTGTATGGTGAGCAGGATGGGGCAGGAAGGGTAGTCTCTGTGAACAGAGCTAACAATAGTTTATTGTCCACCTGGTCCTTTTTACCAACCCATTGTTCCATATAATAGATGGCAACGGTGATTTTAATGCAGATGTCTCTAGACTGTGTCTATGAGAAAGTTCAGTGTCTCCAAACTGCTTACACACCTCTCTAGAGTTGTTCAGTTTTCCTGGTTCCTTGCGTTCTCAGACATAAAGAATGGCCACTGGGCTAAGTCTCCAGGTTCTCACTGCGAAAGGGATGGGCATAATGGCAGTGCACAATAAATAGAAGCTGGTAGGGAGCTGTTGCCCGCATTCAGCTGCCAGAGCTGGGGGTGGGTTTGTGTGTTCCTGCAAAAGTAGTCCTCACCAAGTGCTGGTGAATTGTCTCCCTGGTGGGTCCCGTTGTTCCATGGCAACGCTGGTGTTGATACTAAAGATGCTGCAGCGGTCCAAGTTTCTCCGGGTAGCTGGTGATGCTATACATGTGATGTTCTTGGTTGACTACATGGACACAGAGCATGATTGACTATTCCTGGATTTGGGAGAGAATTCCCACGTGTTTGGCTATAAGATTTTTAAAATGCTAAT